CCACAACTGCCATAGTCTGGAAATTAATACGGTTGCTGTGGCACGAAACCCTTCATTCACCGTAGCATCGTTCTTAGGACTTGTGATACTGCTGATGCTCTCGGCCACTGGCATCATTATCATCAATAACCATCCACTTTGTCACTGGTCATGCAGTTCTGCTCACATGAATGTAGGAACGAAACCCTAAACCCTAATTCTAAACCAGAACCGATCCACACCTGAAAACAACCTTCTACAGAGGAGCGGGAGTTTCTTACTCAGGTCCCTACATCGCTACATATCCCTAACAGTAAATCCTGGAGTTTCAGACCATGGGAGAAGCCCAAAAATTTGGCATTCTTTTGACGGACTCCCGAACATCATCCTCACATTAATCAGACTCAGACCCCCGCCCCCCCTCCGAAATATTCCTCTGGTCGTCTTGGCCTCCGAGGATGCACCCGCGTCGCCCCCCTGGGCATCAATCTTGGGGTCGGAGTTACGCTGGCCCGGCTGCTCCTCGGCCTGCGTGTTGTGGGTTTCGACCGCAACAAACATCCGGTCCAGGGACACAGTTGGCTGCAACCCCCACCGTGAAGTCGTCAGCCTATCCCATACCTAGCAAAGGACAGAACCGACAACCTCATCTCACCTAGCGAAACTACGACAGTCCGCGCACACGGTCCATGCGCAATCAAGCAACAAAGGTACAAGGAGGTAACGGGAAGGGCTGCTACACGGTCACCGCTGGAACGCCGCCATGAAGCCAATATAAGGCTTACCATAAGTGATACTATATGGGGTGTAGGTCAGTGTAGCTCCTGTTCATTTGGGAGTCTACGCTTTCGGGCTTGTCTTTGCGCAAATGTCTATCGGTCTTTGAGTTCTGTTTGTGTGGGTGCGGACGTTGATGCCACCACTTTATATGCCTTTCCGGGAACACCAAGCTATAAAGCCTCTGAAACATTCTGGCAAACAAAATCCTCTGAGGCCCTGAAAAAGAAGTATGAAAGATCCCAAAGGCCTACCTGGAAAATCCCAAAAAGTTCGGCCATCAGCCTGCGTCTCTTGGCAGATGTTGGTAAGATCCCCACCAAAGGACAAAAAGACAGCATCCCGCCAAAAGACAAGCAGACAACAAAAGAACACAACACATTCCACTCCCCTCTGCGCTCCCAAACAGACTCGTGGACTACTGTGCCAGAAAGAAGCAGCCAGCCGGAGACATGACCCCCCCCCAAAAAAAAAACAACACACATAGCCACCCTTATGGTAACCATTAGTTTTCCCAAAATACCCCGTATTAGTAGCCCTACAACAGTCACACTGACCCCTCGGAACCCTGAAATAGCCAGCCCACATCATGGTCACCCTATTGTGTAATGTAAGTGCCTTAATAATTAGAATAGAGTTTTAGGGTATATTATACTGCAATCATAGAAAGACACCCCAAAAATAGTATGGGCAAGTATTAAGGCCCATATAGTACTCATAGTCCAGTAGGTCCCAGGAGCCTCGGGAGCCTCCTCAGAAGACTTGGATCCCGATCTGCTGGAGGAGTGGTCGCTCGCCTCTGCCTCTCAACTTCAGGGCCGAGTGGCTGAAGAGCTACTACCCTTGCATTGTTAACTAGTATTGCTACCGATGCATTTTTTAGGGTAGTAGTATAAGAGCTACTACCGGGTTACTAGAGAACTCTCTAGGTGTCGAACGGGGTTACTATCATATGAAGTTACTTCGTGCTCCTCCTGTTCCTTCCCCCGCCTCGTCCTACATGTGCTTCTCGACGCTTGCTACTGCTGCATCACAAGAAGGACTGCAACTGCCTGTGCCTGTTCCAACATTACTTCTCTCCTTCATACCATTGTTCGATTCTTCCTGCTCATGTTATTGCTACGGGTGTGACCGCCACCCAAGGCAACGAAAGAACAGCCCTGTAAGCTGGATTCTGCTTCGGAGTTACTTAAGGATCAGGGTCGCGTGGTTGGAACCCATGAAGCAATCGAGTGTCGAGGCCTGTGAATACAAATATCTGGCTCGGGTCCTCTGCATAAGCTCATAAGCGAAGTCATGCTGCAATTTGTGCACACTACCAAAACCGATTTGACCGTGTTCCGTGAAGCTTCCCCTGTCTCGTGGCCAATGGGATGCAATGGAATGCCATCCTGACGAACTGCCGTTGGGCCTTTTCCGCGTTCTCTTCGAAAGATTTGCGATGCTGCGCCAAATGCTTCCTCACATTCCGTGCAGTCGTGTTTGCGGCTGCATTACCTAGACCTGCTAAGTCGACCGGCGCTACCAAGGAAGTTAGGCTCGTGCAAATGATGCATCGATGCAGGTGGCCTATCTCCTCTCACCGCTTCTGCTGTGCCTTCTTATGCTTCCATACCCATCGTTTATTCAGTAGTAGTGGCAGTGGCAGTAGCAGCAGCAGCGGCAGCAGCAGCAGCAGTAATAGTAGTAGTAGTGGTAGAGGTTGAGGGTGTTTTTTTGCTGAGTAGCATTAGTAGCGGCGGCAGTGATAATAATGGCAGCCACAATAATAACAACAACACTAATAATCATCATAGTCATAACAATAACAAAGAATGAGAAGGAGAAAATAGTAGGACAGTGTGAGTATGATAGCATTCAATAAAGTAATAGCAATAATCGCAATAATTCTAATGATTAATCGTGACAAGAGTCATAATAGTTAGTAAGAATCACTTTTTCGGAGCACGTGTAGCGGGTCGTGAGCGTCTTGCGGTTTTGCTGTGGTTGCGGTGGCCGCAGCTACAAGCTTCGGGCAGTGAAGCCAACTCCCGAAGATGAAGTAGACCTGATGATAATCAAAACCATCATAACACCAATGCTTGATAGTATTAATAAGCGCAATTTGTAGTAATAAACGTAATGATAGTAACAATAGTAGTAACAGTAATAGTCACTTGTTCGGAGTTTGGCACCAAGTGTCCGGAGCAGCTCGGCGAGTCGCTTTCGCTCTTGCTTCTCCTCTTTCGGACTCTTTGGGTCTTGCCAATTTAGAGTTAGAGCCCTCTCTGATCACTCCCGGACTGCGTGGCTCGTCGCACAACAGAACCTTGGAAAAATCTCAGATCTTACAATGGCAACCATAGCTGCAAAGCGACAGCGACAACAACCACCACCAACAACAACAACAACAACAACCACCAGCGGCACCATCAAACGAATGAGTTACAGCATGGAGCGTTAGCAACATCGCCGGGTAGCTTGTTGTGCCATGTATTGAGGCTCTTGGGAGGCTCCATACCTTCATGTCCAGGTCCAGGGTTTGCTTGGCCCCGAGAGCTGCATGTATCATGCTTAGCTGCAGCGTTGAAGGGTTATGTGGCAGAATAGACATCCATCATTGTCGCGAAGCCTGGAGGAGCCTGAGCCTTGACGCTCGACCTCCGGGATCATCGGGACAAGCACTACGTCACCACGCTCTCGCTGCTTCAAGAAACAAATCCAATCCGGTCCCACGATTCGACAGTGCAGCTCCTCTTTGCGATGGTCGCCTTCGGCGGCCTAGCAGGTGATGATACTTCGCGGCATTTCGCTCTGTGCAAAGCAGCTGGCTGTGCGATGACTAGTTCGCAGCGTGTTCTCTCCGATTGCGAGCAAATTTTCGCGCCTAAATAGACCGCGTATTTATCGTTGCGTCCTAGGCCGGATTTTGCAGTTTTGAGTCCGAATCCCGCGATTTCGAACCAGCTCTGACGATCTACGGTCGAACTCCAAAGCCAGGAGGAACGAGTGCACAGGATCTTCGATGGAAACAAGCCAGAAAAATGAGGAGTTCATGCACCTCTTGCTCGGCAGATGCCCGACGCCCCGAGCGTTGCGACATCATCGCTTGGAAGTGCGCGATGTCAGCGGAGCCCTCGGATGCCAGGAGCGTCTTTCAGGCGAAACCTCCAAGTAGGGCCTGAAAACCCTTGAAGACTCACTATTGTCCGCATGCAAATGCAGTCAAACATGCAATCCATGGGGCAGAACGATCTACATATACTAGCGTTGCCCTATGTTGCTGCTTTTATCTATGCCTTGTTGGCAGGAAGTCTCGGGACTGAGAAAGGCCAGCTCAACACTACGCAAGATTGCAGCACAATGCCCAACATCCCAAACAAGTCCGAAAGAACTGGGGCACTCACCTCCCCGACACGGGACATCCTCGGTTTCATCGCTTCGGCTGCAGCTGTGGCAGCCTCTCAAACTCTCGCAAGACTTCGCATAGTGAAGGATTCGGATAGGGCTCCCGAAGAAGGGACTTCTGCACCTTTTCAGCCCTAAACCCTGATGCTTACATGCCCATCTTCTCACAAAGCAGAACTAGGCCCTAGGCCAAGAAGCCAAGAAGCCTATGCCAAGCCATCAACCAACTGCAAAACAGATTAAACTCTGCGACTACTTGATCTCGGACGGCCTTCTGCTGCCGCAGGGTCAGAAGATCGTCGGCCTTGTCCAAGCGACTACCGGTACTTAGATGAATCCTCCAGTGTTCCCAGGCAGGACTCGCGCCAGAACAACCACGGTCTGTTTGCAAGAGCTTTTCATGAGAAAACCGCTGAAAAGGAAGGGACCTGAGTTTGGGAGTTTTGGAACCTGCGAGGCTCATGCTTCGAAACCGGCTCGCAAGCTATCCGCACTCCGAGTGTAGGGTAACTCCCATGTTGAGGGCGCTCAAGAGTCCTGGATGGGTTGCCACTGCATGATGCCGTCCGCCAATTGCCTGCTGTTGTTCTTTTTTCTTAAAACCCTTAATTGCCGTTCCGCTCCTCCTCAGAACCACAGCCATAAACCGCAAAAGGGCGCTGCGTTAGCGGAACGGAACATCTCTGCCTAGGGATGCTAGGGGCGCTTTCGTCCTGAAACTCCCAACGTAGGCCTGGCAGGTGGGCCCCAGGTTGCTCATGAATCAACCACTTCAAGTCCCAAACAGGCACAATTGATGGGAACTTCTAAACCTATGGCTTTGAAAGGGCCCAACACCGACGAAGCAAGCGAGGGGCATCAACACGTCTCCTCCTTTTCTTCGTCAGCGCCGCATCTCGGCAAACAAGAGGTATCGTGGTTACAGAGAAGCTACACCCAAAGACTATCCGGGGAGCATGGCGGGGCAGGGCGTATTGGAATCAATTGTTGAACCATGGGGACAACCCAGTTCCCTCTAAGCCCACCCTCTAGCACAACATCAATGCATCCTGGACTGACAGACCTTATATCGTAAAGTCCAGGCACGTCCAGGCCATGGCCAGTCTACAACTCAGAATCTGCCCCCTCCGGTCTACATGGCGCGGCTTACAGGAGAGTTCAAGCGTAGTAGTAGTAGTAGTAGTAGTAGTAGTAGCAGTAGCAGCAGTAGCAGTGGTGGCAGCAGCAGCAGCAGCAGCAGGAGGAGGAGGAGGAGGAGTAGTAGTAGTAGTAGTAGTTTCCCACAACTCACAACATGCACCGAGTCGCCCTCCAACACCTTCGCGAGGCTCTGAATGTCTTCCAGAAGGGCTTTGACCTCTTCTTGGCGTTCGACCCACATGTGGACGGTAGCCAATTGTGTGCATGTGTAGGTGCACGTGCGCATGTCCTAATTGTGTAGCTTTTTACACTGACACATATTTCGAGAGACTCAAGACCCGTTTGGTTCACGCCGGGCTTTTTGAAACTTGGAATGTGCTCCTGCATTAAAAATAAATCCAGGACCCAGGCCCAAGCCCAGACCTCGTCTTCTCAAGGTTCAAAAAAACAACGGCGCCGAGTGTACTTTCAATACATAAATGCATGTTAACTGAAAGGATACTGCATGCAAATTCGAAGAGTTCACGGCCTTGTAGCGGAAAGTCTCTCGCTCCGCTTCCTTCTCGTCCTGCCCCCCATCCGTCGCGTCATATACAGGCATTGATAATTAGAGTAGGGTTTGGGGTATCTTTCCTCTGGACAGAACGAGTCCAAGCACCTTGGGCCTTGGCTTGATGATTGGTTTTAGGGATTGAATTGCGGGGTTTCGGCGCTCACACTCGGACAAACCAGGGCGAGGCATGTGGTTCGAGGTCTGCTGACATGTGAAACTAGCTTGCGAGTGCAAGACCAAGGCAACACAAATCGATCATGGTCTTCCTCTCGCCGAAGTCCAACATGACGAGGACAACTACTTAAGGACTTCGATGCAGTACTTGGTTGAGATCACATAGCAGTAGGTTCGGTAAAACTGGCGGAGTGTTTTTTTTTTTCTCGCGCTGGCGGTCCCCGGTCTCATTTGCTAACGTTGGCTCTTCTTTTGGTTGCAAACACTGTACATTGCAGCATCAAGCTTTTGGGAGAGTGCATTTCGAGTCTCCTGTCTTGTGTCAAGCTATTGGGGAATTACAATTGGCAGGGTCTTGTTTTGTTTCAAGTTTTTGGGGAATTCCAACTTGCAGGGTTTTGCACTGTGTCAAGCTACTGGGGAATTTTAGGGTATTGATTTGCCGCTATTGGGGGAGGTCAATCAAGTTGTCACGAAGCCAAGCCTGCGGAATCGCAACACCTGGAGCAGGCGCCAAAAAGCGATAGTGGGAGGCTTCTAGAACCAAACACACTGGGGTGGAGCCCTTGGCCGCCAAGGCCCTTCCATGCTTAAATTTCGGAGCAAGAGTGAGCCTCTTAACTGCCCCGGACTCTCATTTGAAGACGATGAGTGGTAAACCCTTTTTCTCAGAGATAGCTTGGAGCGCCAAACCGTCTATCCAAGTGAAGGTTTAGCAGCCTCAGAGAGCCAAGATTCGTGTCCAAGCAAGGGACAAGCTCTTCAGGGGCCACATCTCTGTCTCTGACCAAAACCGATTCAAAGCGATCGAAGTGCTTTTCGATGTGAGCGGTCATTAAGGTGCGAAGCCATGCAGCTTCACTCTTGCACTCGTCAAAGCTCATGCTGCTCTGATTCTGTTGTCGATAAAGCGCGGCAACAATGGCACGAAACCCGCAATCACCCGAGCCTCCCGCATCAACAAGCTCCCAGCCCGAATCCAAGGCGTCTTTGAAAGACCCAAGCTCTCGACATGAGAGCTGCACCTTAGACTCACCGACTTGAACCGCGGTGTCCATGTCAGCTTCCTCCGGAGTCGGAGGGATATCCTGAGCCTGTGAAGCCGTGACAGGATCCATCTGCGTGCTAGCACGGCAAGGCTCCGCACGTCTAGGCCTATCCCTAATCGGACCGTGGGTAGAGGGCTCGCCACCACCTGTCGCAGCGTCACTAACCTCCATGGCCACCGCTTCAACCAAAGGCTTAGCTTTCGAAGGCTGCTTCGGGTCCTTCCCACATTCTGAGGACCATGACTTTCTGGGGTCTGGGACAAAAATGCGTTCAACCGGACGAGGGGCCTTGTCATTGTGAGGGGCAGCCAGGTTAAGAACGATTGCAAAGGAGGTGGCGCTAGCAGAGTCCTCCACACAGTACGTCCATGCCTTTTGGGCAGAGGAAGTCTTCGGCGTTCCGCTGCCTGCGCGAAACCGTGGAAACCTGAGACCATTCTTCAAGACTCAAATGCTCCGTCAGCTCCTCTTCTTGCCAGCGGGGCGGCAGGCCTGAGACTTCCAAAACGATCGGCTTGTCAGGAACCCTATCCGTAGCAAAAGCGACGAAACCCAGGTCAGAGGCTCCGCCCTTTCTGTAGACAACCCCCTGAGCCCGCTGAGCCGCCAAGATCTCCACCCTAGCTCTGTAGTCTTCATCGGACTCCTTGCCCACCCGTGAAATCCACGTTTTCTCAACATGGACTCCATCACTCTTTTGTTCTGTGACAGAAATGCCACGTGTGCCACTGTGCCGAATCAAGGCCTGCGCAGCACTCTCGGGGAGGCGCAGCCATCCGAGCATGTGGTGCCCTTTCTTGCCATAATCCTGCTTCTCCCAACGGCCACAAGTGAGTTGATGACTGCAAACACCGGTCGTACGGCCATATCCGCGATGACATCCTTGACGCTATCCGTTCGCAAATCCGTGAAGAGGCACCTGTAACGCGACAGGACAGTAGCGCGCACAGTCAACCGTTGCACGTTGGTGATCCTGGTCTGGGAAATGACCTTAAGTGGTTGAATCCATGGGCTGTCGGTACCTAGCGCGAGCAAGCCAATATCTTCAATGCGGGGAGTACTCTTGCCTCTATACTCAGTCCGAGCCTAGTCAGAAACAGCTTTTGCGTGTGCTTCGCCGGTCCACCAGCGACAACCGGAAGTCCACCCTGAACGCAAAAGTCGACCACGCTGACTTCAACATGCTGATGTCATCTGGCGAGTCAGTGCAGACAACATCGGCTGTGCACGGCTGACCCGCGCGGATGCTTTCGAGGATCTGCTGCACCGAACCAAGCCTAAGCGTCGCATTCCACCCAACAGGGAAAACAGCGATCACCTTAGGCAAGGAAATAGACCGCTAGTTGTCCCCAGAGCCGTCAAGCCGTTTGGGGGGGCGCGCAAGGTGAGGACCGTGGGCCCAGGAGTCATCAGCCTTCCCGGAGGACCAGTAGGAGTCATCCCATTGTTGCCACTCCGACCGACCAATCCTGCCAGCTATGGAAGCATCCGGCCACACGTCAACTCTACGTGCCGCCCTAGTGCGTGTAGGGGCCGGTTCAGCCTGCGGAGAGCATGCGAGCTGCGCCCTCACTTCCCTAGCCACCTCGTCGTCAGTTGCATGCCGATTGATGCATTCTTTTAAGCACGGCAATCAGCCGTTTGGCCAAGACACTATCCTTCGCGACCTGGGGCTGCGGCGGGTCTAGGAACGATGCAAGAGCAGAGGCCAAGCCTGCATCCTGAGCTTGCCCACTTTGGTCCTTGCGTTTTCTGCTGCCTCCCTGAAGTTCAGCCGAAACATTTCCGAGCCAAGCGGCGTAGTCTGGCCTCTGAGAGGCCCAAGAATCTGAGCCACGGGCCCTCCGGGTTGTAGCCCAGAAGTTTCGAGAGCGGCTGACAGTTTCAAAGGCCGTGACGTACTGAGGTCCGAGCAGGTCCTCTCGTCCGCTGCTGTTGAGCGGGCTCGCGATGCCATGCAGGAGAGCAAAAGGAGGAACTTCGCGGACGTAAAGGTGGTCCGCACGGGTGCGTTGCCATGGCTGCTTTGCTACGCTAACTTCAACTAGAGGAGGCGCCGTTGGCGGGCCGGTGTTTATTTACACGGCTACTACTCATGGTCTCCGTTGGTCCCAGCATGAGTAACAGACCTGGGACCCCCTGCAGGAAAAATGCCAACTCGCCATGTGCAGGCGTGCACACACACACACACGCACACACACACACACACACTCGTGCATGCAGACACAGGACCCCTGAACACATGGACATGAAACCGAGACAAGTGAGATAAGCACGGCGTGATTCCTGTGAAATAGAACCGAACATGTGGACTTCTCAAAGTTTTTGGCTCCCGCACGGCAACGGAGAAGCAGGAAGAACAGCTAGGAATGAGTCGAACCCTCCAGAGACAGTAGAACAGAGAAGAGTCTGAATAGCTCAAATTACATCCAAAAAATAGGGATTGTGCAATCGAGCGAGGACTGGAAGTAGAAAGAGAGGTTGAGCCCCCATCGCGCCACCGCAAGTGTGCAAGGGAACTGTGCAGCTTACGCTTTGTAGACGATCTATTTCTAGCTGACTTGCCTTGACATGTGCAGCGCTCTTATGAAGTGCTCTGTCCTCCAACTGTTGCATTCGTCGATGCCAGAAGGTGAGTAGCTTCGCGATCCTCAGATGCTTCTGAGCTTACCTTCACGTGGTGGTACCATGTGTTGGCCTCGGCCAAGAATCAACGATGGAATAGTACTAGTACCATGATGGCCATGTCAGCCTGCAGCCTCGAACGCGCAGCACATTTCCAAGTTGTGCCTGGCCACATGGCATCCCGTTCTTTCAACTTCCTCCCTTCATTGTCGACCTGGTGCTACTAAGGCTGAGACGGCGAAGAGCTTACGAGCACGGGGACCATTGTTGCAGCCTAAGCCGTATAAACTCACTGCAAAATAAGCCCCTTAACTTGAACCTGGGGCTCCCTCCCGTAGCCCTCGATGCCAACACAAAGGGATGGATTGGCCGTACTTGAACGGGTGGGCGGATGCAGGAGACGGGGTGGGATACCGGAACTTGAAACTGATCATTTTGTGGGTTGTTTGCTAGCCGTCAGGTACACCGAAAACGCTCTGGCATCGCTGTCCTGACGGGTGATTGTGGAAGTGCCAATGTGTTGACGCGCACTTGTCATTCTGCTCGTAAGTGCAACATTCTGAAAAGCCCACAGAGGCACCTCTGCTTCCAGCTCTTGTGGGCTCTTTTGTATGTGTACCTGACAAAAGACAAAGGATTCGAAGGCTTGCCCCAATCTGAAGGACAGGAAAGGTTGTATTATATTATAATATATTATACCATCTTATGTCATATTAGAAAGTAGAAATATTATCTTATGTCTCATGTGCTTGTTTATACCATGGTCCCCTTGGATCTGCTGTAGGCTCGGCCGGCGCCTTGAACTTCTGCAGCGCGTCGCCGCTCAGAAACTTCATCAAGAGCTTCTGCTTTAGCGCCAGGGTTCGCTTGCACTGCTTCCTTAGAGGGAGGAGTTCCAGGAGTCGCAACTCTTACAGCTGCAACGTCCCAGGCACACCGTAAACATGTACCCGAGCGCGGGCGATTAACGCGCTCCGACCGAGCCTGACGTGTAGCAAATATCTTTTCTTCCCTGAAAATGCCCAAGCAGGGCATTGCTAGTAGTCCGGAGCCACGAAACCCAAGGGCTCGTGCGCACCCAGGCACATCATCCGCCGCAGCGCGAAGATGTACTTTTTGTGGCGGCTAGCGTCGTGCAGGCGGTGAGGCTTGATACCTTGGGTCACACACTGGCATCTGCAAGTTCTGGGGCTTCAAGCTTGGGAAGCGCACTTTAGCAGTGGGATGCACGGGGTGTGGCAGTTTTTCAGCGATGCTTGCGACAAGCGCGAGGCACAGGACGCAGGTGTGCATGCGTGGTGAAGCGGCCTGACAATCGGCTGCATAGGCCGCTACGGTACTCTTATCTGGAAGCCCGAACTACGAAGTGAAGTCCAGGTAGCAGGCAAAGATGACAATTTTGACAGGCTGCGATTCGCCTTGCAGAACTCCCACTTCCTTGGGCTCGAGGTGCATGACCCGACTGAGAGTTTACTGTGAAGATAAGGTTTACAGGCCTCCAGGGTTTAGGCTCTCGGGCTTCTGCATGTGATGTTTTCGGGGTTATGGTCAGGGTGTTTGTCATTTAAGATCGTCGTCATGCCCGCGCTTGGATGCCCTGACCCGCACTAGGTCGGCGCATACCTGACATAGGTCAACTTTGTAGTTTTTGAGGGATGCAATGACAGCCTCTCATGGAGATGCCGGTAGCACTATATTTGCCAAAACGGCTCACGGCAGGCCTACAGAGGCACCAGCAAAAGGCTGGCACCTTCGTCGCGATGCAACTGCGGCATTAGCTTACAATGCGTCGGCAAACTTGGATCCTAACCTCTGCAATTTCCCAGCGCCACCGCATCCACTGCCATCTGAAGCATGTGTCTGGCTGCTGTCAGTAAGCCGCATGAAACCCGAGCTTCACGGCCTCCGTGCTGAACAAGAAAGAAGCCCACATGCCTACAAATAGTAGCACGATCCCCTTCTAGTCTCAAGAAATCATTTTTCATTCATATACCCCCAAAAAAAACCTTAGTCACTGGTCTAGGATCTAGGAGCCTAGCTCGCAAGGGCCCAGCGTCTTCTTCCCGAGCTCGGGGCTGTCGGTGGGAAACAGAAGCATCCAGGGGTCCAACTGCATCGGCTCCCGAGCCTTGTTTGGGAGGGGGGGGCGCGGGGGGCCGGGGCTTGGGGGGGGGGGGGGGGGGG